CACATCACTTTTAAGCTTGTCTCATCCACATTCTTCCTCTGCTCAAAGGAATTGCTATGAATTTGGCTAGTCGTTCAGCCAAACACTTAAGGCTTGAACACTGAAGCTTTGAAGCTATGTCATCTGGGAAATCTGTTTTACCTCTCTAAATATCATGTGTAAAGAGGGGATTTTGTGTAGAATTCTTATGAGGATTAATGACATTATGTATGGAAAACATTTAGGTGATCAGTACACGACAGCACAAGATCCAAAGATTTCTCTCTAACTATTTGGCCCTCTCCTCCCTTGTCGTGCATTTTCAGCCATGTTTCTTAAAAGGAATTTATGCTTGCTGTCTCTACTTGTCCATCTCCCATTTATACCTCACTGTAATCGCTTCTGCTCCCCCTCTATTGACACTGCTTGCCAAAGATCGAATAAATTTCACATGCATTCATAGAGCTTCGAGTTGTTTCTTAATCTTTTCTGCCTATAGGCACAGTCAACCAATTTCTCCTTCAAAGGTCTCTCTTGATCTCCATGACACTAGAGTCTTCCCAATTTTCCTAATTCTCATACTGATCCTTCCTACTCTCCTTTGCTGCCTTACTCTGCCCTTTAACTAGTGTTGCTCTCAACTTTCATGTGTCTGGGAAAAAAGCACAATTCTTTGCTATGAGGTCTGAGTTGGAATTCTGGCTCTCCTACTTACCAAACTGAGTTCCTAAGTTATTTAACTACCTGAGCCTCCATACTCTAGTCTGGGGAAAGATAACTCCTCTCCTGGATAATCAGTCTAAATGGAGTCACTGTACACTGACCCTACATTTCCCATGGGTGTAATGAATCAGTAGAACTGGAATTCCAGACTTAGAAACTCATTTCCTACCTTAAGAATGTCAAAACTCAAAACAAAGAATGTGCTCTTCAAAATATTTATTAACCGTATAAAACTAAACAATATGAACTATGATATAAATGTTCCTTTGAGGCACTTTTCTTCATGGGCTGGACTGGCCGAGGTTTCTTAGACGCTTAGTTTAGTGAAGTTTGGACAGAACATGCGCTCTTTTGCTGGGGCATACACAGATATTTTTCCTTACTCTAGGAGACTTCTGAACTACATTGAAAATTAGGGTCATCTGCCACAAAGCAAAAAAGAGGAGGCCTCTCATAGTTTCTGAAGGTTAAATGTTGGAAGAGGGGCAGTTTCAATGATGTCTTGTGTGTATGCGTGCTCAGTCATGTCTGACTCTGCAGCCTCATGAACTGTAGCCCACCAGGCTCCTCTGTCCATGGGATTTCCCAGGAAAGAATACTGGAGTGGGTTGCCATTTCCTCCTCCAGATCTTCCTGACCCAGAAATCAAACCTGCATCTCATAAAAATCTACTTTGCTGAGCCTCTGAGAAACACCTAACAATACAACCAGGTTTGCAGGACAAATGTCTAGATCTGCACACTCTGCAGTGATGTTTTTGACAGTTATACAAATATCTTCAAAACACTGATGGAGTTTCCTCCAAATTCCTAGTTCCAGGGCTTCAATTATGATTTTCAGTGTCCAAAACAAACAAATAATAAATTTTAAAAACCAATATCTAAAACACTTCCACAATTCCTTTTGATTCATACTCTTTGCTGATTGCTTTAATTGACCATTAATAATTTCACAAATGCAACAACTCTGATCTGTTGGCTAGTCGGTGAGACACTTTGTGGATATGAATTAGAGAGGAAGAAAAACTTTTTCAGGCAGGATGCTGCTGCTTAAGAATTGGGAGACAGTCAAAGCGTCATCCAAACCCAGCTGTTATCAATTAAGTTCCATTTCTTGCCCTCTGGAACAGCGTAAAAACCGAAGTTTGAGAATTGGCTCTTCAAAAGGCATTAGTTCATTAATTCAAGGGGATTGCCTTGGATTCTTGGCAAGATAAAGGTAAGACAACGGTGTCAATTTGTAATCAACTGCAATATATGATTCCTCCTACCCAACTACCTAGTCAATATTTTTAAATTTTCCTCCTCACTAAAGTTATGCTTTTCAAAAAAGTAACTTTATCAGTGTTAAATATCTGTCTCAAACAATAACAGACTCTGCATTTTAAGTGATTTTTCTGGGAAGTTTCCATTTTTCCATGTTAGCGCTTGCAGTTTTCCCCAATACTGATGTTATGCTAACAAATTCTATTATGAAAACAGTGTTCAACATACAGTGTTCCCGATGAAATCCCATCCCCTTGTTTCCATCCATAGGCCTCCTAGTTCAGGCCCTCCTTAATCTTACCAATTTAGTACAATGGCTTTGAAACCAAGCCAAACATAACTGTCATGGTCCATTCTCTTAATCTGCCACCAGCATTTTCCCCACAACTGCATATCTTGCAGTTGTCCTTTGAGCCTTCCCTCCAACACAGCACTAAACAAATTTTATTGTCATTTTGTGTTTACATGAGTCTTCTGTATTTTATCTCGAGTATCTAGTGGACAAAGACCATTTCCTTGGTCTACCAGTTAGCACAAAAAAGGTACTTAACGTTAAGTATCTTATACTGAATATGAGCCCAACTCTTTTATCAGCTTTCGGATAGCCTAAGAACTCTCTTTGAAAATCAGACTTCTTTACTACTCAATCAACTACTCTTAAACAATGTGAAAAATCTACCACAAATCTTGATGAAAAACATGATTTTTTCTTTGAAGCTAGTGCACTAGAAAAATACACCCTAATGACTTAGTGAGTGATGCTAATAAACACCAATTATTGTACTTCTTTATAGCTTTGTCCTTAGTGGCTAAAATGTATTACCTGCTCCAGTCTATGTAACTTTAAGATTTCCTGTCTCCCACACCTATCAACTTTAATATATCTATTTTTTCTGTCTCTATCAACTCCTCTCACACTTCTAAGTTGCGCTTAAAAGCTAAAATAAGGTTTTTAGAAACGCTTATAGCAAAAATAAATGGACCCTAATGAAGAAGTGATGTATGTACCTATGATGAAAAAGCACAAGGATCTTGTGACATCTATTACCTGTTAAAAGGCCTTCACTACTAATTGTCAGAAAAAGGTGTGTATAATTAGCAGTTAATCACTTAAATTTGCACTATCAATCCTAAAATCTAGTCCAGTTTAGTGAGTTAAAACCGTCCCCACTTCAAAACTCTCTTCTGTCACTCAGTTCAAATTAAAGTTATAAGTCCTATCCATTATACTAACTTAGAGCTATTTCAAACCACATTATACATTTCTAGCAGATCAAATGCATAATGTGCAATGTGATATAAAGATGTTATCTATGACAAAAAACATCCAAGGTTGACAGATAAACTTTTCTTAAATCTCAAAATGTAACTAATGTGGAATAAAATGAAAGTGAAAGTCACTGTATCCAACTCTTTGTGATCCCATGGACCATGGAATTCTCAAGGCCAGAATACTGGAGACAGTAGCCGTTCCCTTCTCCAAAGGATCTTCCCAACCCAAGGATAGAACCCATCTCCCGCATTGGAGGCAGATTCTTTACCAGCTGACACAAGGGGAGCCCAAGAATACTGGAATAGGTAGCCTATCCCTTTCTCTAGGGGATCTTCCTGACCCAGGAATTGAACCGGGGTTTCCTGCATTGCAGGTGGAGTCTACCAACTAAGCTATAAGGAAACCCAATGTGAACTAAAGCTCATCATTAAATCATGTTTCATACTCTATCAAAAACGTGTCCTCTGTCTTTAGTACTTTAAATATATTATATTCAACATTTTAAAATGTAGTGTTAAAAAAATGTAGTAATAATGGAGATAAAATAGTAGAAAACAGGCCCCACAAAGATTCACACAATGAAGGTAAGCTCAGAGTGACTTTTAATATGCCAATCAATGTTAATAAAACACAAGTCAAACAGACAAGTGCAAACATGTTTTAAAAGAAAATAGAAAAACAGACAAATTCTATTTTTTTTTTCAACATCTGTTAGCCAGTATTATTAGTCAAATGGCTAATCACAGATAAAATATATTTTGTGAAAAGCTTGGGATAGTCAGAAGTCATTCTGGCATTTCAAACAGCTATGTACAGTATCACCAAGATTAGTTTATATACACAAATATTGAAGAGAAACCGGGAAAAACATTTAAAAACAGACTAACAATACAATCAGGTACAAAACTTGGGTGAAGGAGAAAACATTTTTTAAAAAGAGTCAGAGAAGGGTATTATCAGGAAAAAAGTACAAAACCAGTAATAATTATACTACATTAATACAGCATTCCAAAGGAGAGGAGGGAGGTGCATTTCTCCAATGCACTAGCTTCAAAGTTCAAAGGAAAAAAAAGGCAAATAGCTACTTTCATCAACAGCAGCTATATATTTCACATAATTGTTTTAAAAAGAAAGCCTATTAACAACAATGATTGTTTAATGCTACAATTTTACAGCAAAGACAAAACTAAAATAGCAGCAAATTCACAAGGCAGTACTTCCACAGAATTATCATTCCATGGTTCATGCAATGCCTACAAAGTGCTCCCAGTTAGATATACAAGTATAATTCACAATTTAGGAAAAAAAAAGAAATATAAGATTGACACACAGGTACACTGAAAGCTGAGGAGTACTGAGTCTCTTAGCATTTCCCTTTTCAAAGGGAGAACAGGTATGTAATAAAGCCCTTGAGTCCTTTTTTTAACAGGTCACTACAGGAAAAGATACCTTTTATTACAATGCAACAGCAAACCATAAGCAGCACACCACCACAGTGGTTAACCCTGGAAAGGCTGGTGTAACATCCAACAGTGACTGACATCCTACAGAAAACAACTGGTAAGACTAGACAAAAGCCTGATAAAGCACTGGTCAAAATACAGCTTTCAACTGTAATTCACAAATAAGTCCTAAAAGGTATTTCAGTAAAACTACTGACACCGATTGAAAAAGGAATTGCTAACTGGATTCTAGCAGTGATTTCAACCTAGCTTCCTCTTGTCACAGTTTTTTTGGGGGGGAGGTGGGTAATGAGTAGTTCAGTATATGGTAAGGCTGACAGAGCGGTTCATTTTCTTTCCAATAAGTCGAGATGTTCTATTACTCTGGGTGGTGGACCTGGTGGCCATCCGATCAGTGAAGAGTGCTCTTTCCTCGGCTGCAGCTTTTGCCATCTGGGCTTTCTTGAGTTCTCTAACAACATAAAAATAGGAAACAAGACTTTTCACCCACTGCTTTAATCCCAGAAAGGGATCCTAAGAGGCCAAATACAAACTACATTATCAGCTGGGAGATTTTTGTGTGCCATGATTACTCCAAGACACAATTAAGGAGAGAAAAAAAGATAATATTGTGAAAATCTATTTACATAAGAGAGAAAAGGAGAATTCTACTTCCTCTTTATATGAACTATGCTGGCTATCAAACTAATGGCAAAAGAACCTTTAAGTATTTCAAGTCAGTTTTATTAGGTTAAGAATAAAAATGGTAGCAATAAAGCAAATGAATTAGATAAACACTCCAACCAGTTTTCCAAAAATATCAAAGGTCATTTAGATCAAATATGAAAATCATCTAACCTAATTGACATTAATTTCATCCTTTCATAAAAGTAAACAGAACATTTCGAGGAGAATGCTATTTATGACAAGAGTTTGTAGAAAAAAATTGATACTTGCTCATTTTAGTTTTTGGGACAATTTGGGCATAAGGATTATCACCACTTTCAAATATATGCAGGTTTAAAAATCTTTTAAGTCCATAATTTCAAAGTTTAGAAACAATGCCAATTTATAGGTCAAATATCAAGGCAGAAGTCCCCAAATTTTAACCATATAACATGCCAAGCCACTTTATTCTTCAATGATGGAAAGTATAAATCATTTCTAATTAAAATCTAAGAATAAAAATGAGAAATTAAAAACAAAAGCCCCATCACTTACTTCTGCAAAAGTGAATTTTTGAACTTTTCAGCATTCAATTCTATTCGTAGTTGTTCTGCACTCTTCCTCGAAGCAGACAGCAATACTGAATGCTTTACCAGTGCCATTGCTGAAGGTCTTCTCTCTGGATCTGGATGAATCATAACCTTAAAAAGAGAAGTAAAATTAACACAAAGATATGCAGTTTAATAAAATATTGAACTGTGTAAATAAAGTGCTTCACATATAAAATGCTCACCTTTAGCAACTCTGTAAATTCTTGGGAAAGCACTTGTGGAATCCGAGGTAATCTACCCTGTCTAATTTCATGCCATTGGTCTCCATTTCTGGGAAGAGGCTCAGCACCAGCAGCACATACCACCGTGAGGGCAAGGGCAAAAATATCTGCTTTTGGTAGATGAGTATAGTTCTGTAAAATTAAAGGAAAAAAAAGTTAAGGGAATATAAAGATGGCCAAGATAAAGTAAGATTACACCTCAATGATGATTTGGGTGAGAAATAAGACTAAATTAAAATGTCCAGTGATACATTTAAATTTAGGACATATTCAGAGAACAAGCTAAATTTGGGGAGATTATAATTTTTTTAATGACAAAGTAATATACACTCTGGGGCTTTCCTGGTAACAGTGGTACAGAATTCACCTGACAATGCAGGAGACACAGGTTTAACCCCTGGGTTGGGAAGACCCCTCAGAGAAGGAAATGGCAACCCACTGCAGTATTCCTGCCTGGGAAATTCCATAGACAGAGGAGCCTGGCGGGCTACAGTCCATGGGGTTGCAAAGAGTAGGACACGACTTAGTGACTAAACAATACACTTTGGGGTGGGATGGTAAACACATTTCTAAAAGTATTCAGGTTATTTCTAAAAGGCCTCCTCTTTACCACCAGCCTCATTCAACTCTCAGAAGAAACTTCACCTCTAGGGGCATTCATATGAAAATACAAACATCAACAAGTTAGAAATATACATATACAACACAAATATACATAAACAGAATAGTGTCATACAATCCCTTTGTTCTAGTTATTCTATTTCCATTCAAAACACTTATCAAGAAATATTTTATAACACGGTTTTTGAAGTAGTATTATTAACTATGGGGCTTCCCAGATGGCTCAGATGGTAAAGAATCTGCCTGCAATCCAGAAGACCTGGATTCGATCCCTGGGTCAGGAAGTTGTCCTCTGGAGAAGGAAATGGCAACCCACTCCAGTATTCTTGCCTGGAGAATTCTATGGACAGAGGAGCCTGGTGGGCTACAGTCTATGGGGTCACAAAGAGTTGGACACAACTAAGTGACTAACACACACTTTCGCATTATTAACTGTATGCCATACTTTATTTAATCATTCCCTTATTGCTAAATATTAACATCATTCTCAATTTATTTCTATATGAATATTTCTTTAAGAGAGACTCTCAGAAATGGAAATTCTTGGGTCAAAGGGGATGTGACTCTAAAATGTTGACAGATATTAACACTTTGATCTCCAAAAAGACATTGTCATTTTAAAGTTTCACCAGTAATGCGTGGAAACTTCTTTTTCACTGCAACCCCACCACTGTTGATATGATAAATCTTTGCCTTTATTGACTTTTGCTAGATTAAATACCCCAACAAGCTAATAGTTTACACTTTCTATTCTGTATTACCTTTTTACTGGTTATTAGCTTAAAATTTCAGTACATCTGCATTTATACTTTTCTAGCAGCTGATAGTAAGTGTTACAAAGCAAATGACTTAAAGAAGAAAAACTACCTCCTGTAAAACTTCATTTGCAAGAAAACGGCTATCACCCTCTTCAACTTGTGGACTAGAGATCCTTGTTACATGCCCAAGGTCACCTAGAAGTGTTGAAAAAAATACAGTCAAGAATTAAAACAAAACAGACTCTATTTTAAGGAAATAATTTGGTTACTTTTCTTTCTTACCTATTTTAAACATAACTTTGTTGGAGGCCCAGTCATCTTCATCTCCTTCTTCAGAGGCAGCATTTGGGATTGAAGTTCGAGATATGAAAATATTACCTGTCAAACAGTTATTTAGGTAAGCCATACGAACAATTAATAGAATCAAAGTTCACAAACAAGTCATACAACAGAATCATTCAGAAAAAGCTTATATAGACTATGTGTTCTATCCCAAACCCAGTGAGAATGAAAGGGGACTGTATTTTCTAGAAATACATTTCCTGGTCTAGCACTGGTCCTTTAACACTTGAAAACCACTGCATTAGACTCTTGTCACCTACACATTGATCTTCAGCAGTTCTAATTACTTAGAAATAATACAAAGGGCAATTAACATACTAATTCATGATGCTACTGAAGCACAAATTTTAATCTAATGCTACAAGGCTGGTGTGAAAACAAGTTATGCAGTTACTGAGTTTGGCTGACCATACAGTATCTATATCCCAAAGAGGTTTTGTGGTTCACTATTTCTACTGTACACAAACTTTTTTTTCATCTAATTCAGGTCAGTTTATATAAACATAAGCTTCAGCAGCAAACTTTATTTTAGTAGTTTTATCAATGTTACATTCACTAGTGTCTTTTCAATTTTATTTACAGGACAACTTATTTTATGGGGATATTTGTAAATTTAAAACTTCACATGCCTAAAAAAAAAAAAACCAAAACTTTACATGCCTTAATATTTTCAACTTTTGTACCTGTAATATAATGGTCCCCTATGTTTGTATAACATTTAATACAAGCTATGACTATGGGGAAACCTCAATGATCCACATTAATTGCAACCATTTCAAACATAATTTTTCCTTTTTGAAAACAAATGTTTTAATAAGTTGACATATAAAAATTCTTCATATAATTCATATAATTTAAGTTGTGAAAAATGATTTAAATCACACAGTCCATGGTGTCGCAAAGAGTAGGACACGACAACGTAGATTAAAAAAAGAACCACAATAATTCAATTTAAAAACACTCAGCCTAAAATGTTTACTTAAATCCATCAACCTTTTAGTTGGGCTTCCCTGGTGGCTCAGATGGTAAAGAATCCACCTGACAATGCCTAAAAACACCTAGCCTAAAATGTTTAACTTAAATCCATCAACCTTTTAGTTATAACTTCTAAATTAAAGGATAGAAAAAGGAATTAGCTAAATGATGCAAGGAAGCAACCAGTCAAACCCAGAAGAAAGGAAATCTGGCAAGACAACGTCTGTATTATTGTTATTTAAGTAGGGGAAGGGTAAAAGCTAAAAAAGAAAATGGATTTACCCTGATGTAAGGCATGGTTCTGAAATGGACACTAGTTTGGATGAAGCAAGTACTAAGGGCTTTGGTCAGCTAGGAAAAATATTAATATGATCTGACTAGTAGATAATTACTGAAATGGAAAGGTAGAGACAGAGTCTTTTAAAACAAGTTCTAAAACAGTATGTACCTTATGATGTTATTTTTGATGACAGGGATTTGCACTAAAGTGTTGGTGTAGGATTCACTTGCATCCTTTTTTAAACGCAAGATAATAAAAATGCATGTACCATTTTGTTTTCTGAACAAAATGGTAATAACAATAACCCTTTTAGCCGCACAAGCATTAATTTAAAAGTACAGATCTATATAGCCTAGTACAAGAGACAGGCTTTAAACTTGAGTTCTTTTAGTCTACAACAGTTCCACTCTAAGACTGTGGTTCCCATAAGCTGCAGAACATTTTTTTTCAGCTTTTAGTAAAAATGAGCTTATTATTTCAGATCTTTTGGGGTAACAAGGGAAGAAGTGATGGGAAATGAAACACTACTACTAAGTGGGTCAAAAATCTTTTAAAATTAAAATGTAATGTACACACTGCTGTATTTAAAACGGATACCCAACAAGGTCCTACTGTACAGTACAGGGAACTCTGCTCAACGTTATGTGGCAGCCTAGATGGGAGGGGAGTTTGGACAAGAATGGATACATGTATATGTACAGCTGAGTCCCTTTGCTGTCCACCTGAAACTATTACAAAATTGTTAATCAGTTGCGTGCTGCGGTTCATGGGGTTGCAGAGTCGGACACAACAGCGACTGAACTGAACTCCAATATAAAATAAAAAGTTAAAAAAAAAACTAACAATGAAAAAACATAGCAAAATATTTATGTTTCCATATTGTTTTAATGAAGTCATTTATTCTCTAAAACCCTAAAGAACATCGGTCAGAGAATCTGTAATACTTACTAGGCTTTATATCCATGTGAACCAAAGACATTGAATGAATATACCTCAAGCCCCGGCCAACTTGTAAAAGGAGATCCTTCAACTCTGCTTCTGTAAAGTAACTCATACTTCTGTAATTTTCACTTATGGCATCGGCTAGACTTCCACCTAACAAACACAAGAAAAGTTAGAATTTTCTTCTTTCTGAAGTATCATTTTTATTTCATCTTTACTGTATGACTAGACGCAACCAAGAAAGTGACATTTTATAGGACCTATTCTCTTCAACCTGCTTGTGAGATCAAACTTGTATTTATTCTTTCAATAGCTAAAACACTCACATGTGTACAAACTATAATATAAAGTCTCTGTCTTATCAATACATACTCTAGCAACCCACCTGGTTCTCTTTCCCAGAGTAATGTTATGAATTCTTTTCAACTCCTTTTTATACAAGCAGTAACACATTTTCATTATCTTGAAGATCATTCTTTATAATATACAAAGACCACTTCTTTCTTAGGTATACAGAATTCCATTGCATAACTGAATGGTAATGCACTAACCAATCCCCTAACTGATGGACATTTAAAAATTATTTCCAAGCCTTTAATACTACAAACTATAGTCTCAGGAATTCACACATATTGCTATCTCCTACAAACAAACTTCTGGGTCAAATGGTATACACAGTGTAATATACACATTCATTGTGTGTAAGAGACACTATTTTATTACATATAGGATAAATTCCTATAGCTGAGAGGGCCATTTCCATTTACCCTACAAAATAGCTTTGTACAGCTTTTCACAGTATCAATGCCAAGACTTGATCACCTCTGAAAGCTCACATAAAATACACTCAGTTCCTGATTTCAAAATGGCTAATACTTAAAATCTGCTAGCATAAGCTTATGTATATCTGGGGATTTGGAAGACAAATCTGGACGATTACACACACACAGAGTGCCCTTTAGAGAAGGCTGTACCAAATCACACTTCCATGCTTAATGTACGAGAATACCTATTTTCCCACACACATAACAACAGAGTCTACAAATTTTATAAGTAAAATCCAGTATCTTTAGTATAGTTTTAATTTATACCACTCTTACTATGAAAAAGAACAAACCTGCTTTTATAGAATCAAACCAATCAGCTAATTTGTTTATACTGTAAAAAACTTTAAGCTTATACTTCATAAGTTTTATTAAAAACTTTGTTTATACTCTGTCTCAGAGGAAATGAGGAATAATGTTTAAAAAATAAACAAACCACTTCTGTTTAAAGCTCAGCTGGGAATAATAAAACCAGAAGCAAGGTAATAAAATCTAGGTCAATGATATACTACTCAGAAAGGAGGTCCTATAATTTGAACAAGTTTAAACAGCAAAAACATCAAATGTGTGGTAAAAATAAAAGTAAATCAAACACCTGTATAATTTAGGATTAAGTATATTCTCTGAACTTAATTTGTACAAATCTTGAACTATGGGAAAAAAGAGAGCTCTAGAAGGGGGCAGGTAAATAAGCTTTTTGGGATATGTGAATTTGAAGTCCTAGATCAAGTTTACCAAGAAATAATATGGCTGCTTTTTAATGGGTCTAGCAACTATAGCTGGGCCAGTTTCTTCTATCTTGCTGCTGAAAGGGTAAGAAAGGTGAGACGAGCAAACCATTCATCTGATATTTCAGGTTCTCCTCCGCTATCAATTAACATTTTTCTACACCTGCTTATCAAGAGTAGAAATTCCATCTACCACCAAATCAAGAAAACAGGCTCAAAATGCAAACAACTGTTTGTGATAAAAAATCAGTTAAGATAAAGGATATCAGTTAATCAATACTACAAATGAATGATAACAGAATCCATCCCTGTGAAACTACAGAAAAGGATCTAAAGACTAGGTCTATTAGGACATTCAAGGGTTTATGTGGAGAAAATGGTGGAAAACGGAAACAGAAGAGTTCACAAATATATCTAGATAGCCTCGTTTTCTTTCATCTACGCAAAAACACCATACAAAGAGGCTGTTCTATTTTACACAAGTCTATTTATTTTTGAAAGACCCATATTCCTAAAGTACTTTAAACTGCTCCAAAATAATAAACTATTTCAAAAGATTATTTTATAATCTAACTTTATTACAGGACAGGGTCTTTGTAATCTGAGAGGGTAGCAAAACAGCTCATTCTCCTCACCCAAATTCCAGGCCCAAGCCAGTTATCTCAAAATCAACTAAATAACACAACACGTATTTGGTAGGTTGTTACAAATTTGTGATTTCTGGACTGTGGCTGACAGCAAGTAACATCAACAAGGTGAGAGGTAGAAAGAAACTAGAGGGAGATGGTGTCTAGCAAATATGGAAGAAAGAAGGTATTATGATCAAGTTACACTATTAGTAAGTGCAGTAACTAAAAAACGGAGGTTAAGCAACAGAACAGTCCACAAAGCATAGGTGACAGCTCATAAATATTTTGATGACAAGAACAGAAACATTTCAAGAGATGTGTGAGACCAGCAGCAATGCTGCATACTGAGCAATTATATCTTTCCAAGGGTGTAGAATAAAATGACAACTCAGTGAGAAGTCAGGTACGAGAAATGGATCTTCTACATCTGTTTTGTTCATTATTTTCCAAAACGGAAAAATTGATCTACTACTTATTTATAATAAGAGGATTATACCACTTATTTATTTTCATAGCTTGAAACAGCTATGAAACAGCTGGTCTTAGGGAAAAAAATGAGAATCAACAAAAATAATCTTTGCTACTCAAGTGTTCAATAAATTCTAAATTCTCTAATACTCACTGAAGATGTACAGAAATAAAAATCCATCATATACAAAATTTTAGGTATAAAATTTAGGTATCATAACAGATCTGTAAGAATCAGAAGTGAAGCCAGGACTTTGGCAATGATTTAGTGAAAAAGGAAGGACCCAGGATGACTGTTGACAGACCTGCTGAAATTAAAAACCATATAAAGGTCCAAAGTTAAACCTTTATAAATGCTTTTTTGGGGGAGGCAGGGAGGAAGGAAGGAGGCAGGCACAGCTAGGGAACTAAAGAGAATAACTCTCTCTTTACAGAAACATTTCAGTGGATTCTAGTGGTAAATGAAGGGTGGATAGATGGTAAGGGGAGCAAGATTCAACAAATGGCTGAATTTATATCAATGGAGAGTCACTGTCATTTTATAAATAACCATTATCAGTTTCAGCAGCACATAAAATGAAATGCAAAGCAAAGGCTAGATACAGGGAGCTTGGCTTATTAACTACTATATCCCTCCCACACACTATGCTAAATGCTAGGAATACCAAAATATATATGGCAAGGCTGCTATCCTCTCAAGAAAATCAGTTTAATTTGAGGAACAGACATACAAATAATATGCATGGTTCTACTATCTAGGTAGAAAGAACAAGGTTTTCAATCTTATCTTCCAGGTAAGAATAACTTGCACTTCAAATTCATGTCAGGCTTTTGATCTTTGAATTTATAACAGGTAAAAGATATATAGAATTAGAGCAAGACTTTAGATAAAAAATAAATTATTTCCTTGGTGTTCGTTTTCTTGAGCTTACACATTTACAGGGGAACCATTACTCACCGTTACAATATTCATTCTGTATAAGCATATGATCATCTTCTGCCCATGCAGAGAAGTAACGAACTACATGAGAATGTTGCCCAAGCACTGCATGAGCATATACTTCTCTCAAAGCATTCTGCCTAGAAGTTTGAGATTAAGAGAATCGTAAATCATTTTTATTTAAGATAAACTGAGTTAATTTATCTGAAAGTTCATAAGAGAATCTTGACTTCTGGATCTATCATTCATTATGCTGAAGAACAACTTGCTTCAGAGAGAGAAGGATTAAAACTCTGTACGAGATTTTCCCAAAGGCTTCCATTAAAGAATCTGGAGTAGGAAATGGCAACCCACTCCAGTATTCCTGCCTGGCAGATTCCACAGAGGAGCCTGGTGGGCTACCGTCCATGGAGTTGCAAAGAATCAGACATGACTAAGCACACATCGTGCCATTTAAGAATGGTAGAAAGAAGGAATCTTGCTGGTCCTATGATTCAGGGAAGATAAAATTCTACTCTGTGAATTCATGGATGCTATTAGAAATATAAAATTTAAGTTAGGTTCCAAGATCAGACTCCTCATATTATTCTACCAAATCCAATAAAAACTAATGGGGGAAAAATAAAGAAATAAAAACTAATGGCACAAAATGAAATGGATCTGATTTAAATCATTATAACTTCTCAAATATTAGAGGTTAAATTCAGTGACTGACCATCTAAAACCTTAACATTTCTAACACCATACTGATGAACAAAAGAGCAAAAGACAAAATCTTTAATACATACTCATCAACGGAGCCAGCCAATGGCTTTTTTGATCGCTTTATGGCATAAACGCATCCATCCAGCCTCTTCACACATTTAAACACAGAACCAAATTCTCCAGAACCAATCTTCTCTAGCTCATGAAATTCTGTTGTATACCGAGACTTCATATTGCTTTCAGTAATTGTAATTCTCTGTAATAAAAAGTGTATCCATATATATATAATATAAAGGTATGAAAGTGATTTTTTCACTAAGGTGATAACACTATGAAATTTAAAATTTTTATCTTGTTTTAATGCTTATTTAACATGCATATATGGGCTTTCCTTGTGGCTCAGTTGGTAGAGAATCTGCCTGCAATGCAGGAGGCCTGGGTCAATCCCTGGGTCAGGAAGATCCCCTGGAGAAGGAAATGGCAACCCACTCCAGTACTCTTTCCTGGAGAATTCCAAGGATAGAAGAGCTGGGCAGGCTATATAGTCCATGGGGTCCAAAGAGTCAGACATGACTGAGTGGCTTTCAATTTCAACATGTATATATCATAGCTTGTTTAGTAAACAAATATTAAAAACAATAAAAGGAAAAAAATTTTTAAAAACCAATAAAAAAGAAATCAAAAGCTACTGACTTTAGCAGGTCTTGTTTCATCTTCAAACTCATAATCACTGGCTTCCATGTCTTCACCACAGGAACTGAAAAATATTATTTTTTCTATCAATATATTTGACAGATCCATCAACTAGAGATCCAAAACTATCTGATAGATATATAGCAAAATGAAAATTTAATGAAAACCGAAAAGAAAGCATTTACTTTTGTAATGACAAGATACAGCCCAAGTGATGAAAACGTTGTTCCTGTTTAGATATACCACCACCACCACACATATCAAAATTAAAGCCTTTCTAAATCAACTTTCTCTGCTTGCCTCATTTTGACACCAGCAGATGTACTAGAATTTATCTAGACTTTTTCTTTCTTCCTTTCCCACGGTACTCTTTCCCATAGCTGATTCCTGAAAATTGCTAGTAATAGAGAAAATTCTCGGCCCATAAACTTCCAAATTATTTGGTTGAAATTAAATTTTAAGTATGCCAAACCAATCTTGGGTGGTTGAGGAACCAAACTGTTGAAAATAAATAACTTACTCATTCCAATATGCTCTCTTTCTTCTACGACACTGTCCTGAGGAATGCAGTAACAGAGAATCTGGAGTAAAAGGATTAATATTCACTTGAGGAGTCTGTCGAACGTCAAATTCCCTTTTTCCTGATTTTTCTGTATCCATGAATAGAGAGCCACCTCGGAGTTTAACAGAACTGGAATCGATTCCTCGAGCTTTGGAGAGCAAACTCTAGGAGAGGAAAAGAAATGCTTAGGATTCAAGCGCTATAGATAGCCTTCTCAACCTAATTTTCAACAAGTCTTTCTCCTGGCTGAATGTTTAGGTCAAAGCAACACACCAACCCTTAGTTAATCTTTCAAGCAAAATAGACAGTGGTTTACTTAGGAGCCTGAAGCTGGATACTAACCACCTTTCCTGAAAAAGTCACGTAAAACAGGCCTCTAACCCTAAAAAGAATATCAATGAAAACTAAAATTAAGTTCACTCTAGGAGCTAAAAGTTAAGAAACCTTTCAATCCATCTAAAAATAGAAAGCATTCTGGGAGTCCCATAAAAGCTCCCCTCCCCCATCCAAGTAGGGCTTTGAAAGCCACCTCCATAAAGCTCCTCCCCTCACTTCCAGACTTGCCTTGGGCAAGTCGGCCAATAAAAAGTAAGGCACAAAAAGCACACATCTCCGGAGGTTTATGACTAGTAGCCTGGACTGAAACTCACTTTAAAAGGTACATTTTCCACATTAATCTTTTAAGTTCGATAGTGTCTGAATTTCGGGAAGTGTCTGCTTTGAAATCTGCTGTTACTTCTAAAGTTCTACAAGTGGTAATCTGCATACTCACTTGCCACTCAACACACAGGTGCTGAATACCTACTTCTTTAAGAGACATTATCAATGGTATGAAAACCTGAGGGTCCAGGAGACAATATCCACGCTGGTTTTTAACAGTTGGACCTTCCTAATCCAGACACTTCGGCTGATCAAACTTGGGAACTGCAAACCCAAGGGTGTAAACAAACGCTTACCAAATAAAATATTCTTTCCGGAAAGAGGCTTAAACGCTACCCCGAGTTATATACGAGCCTTTTAAAGACTGTAAATACTTGAAGGCCAGCCTTTTCTCCCAAATAGAAGCGCAGTCTCCCTCCGTATCTCAAACTTTCCCCCAAAAGGCCACCTGATACGAAACGATAAGTGCATTTTTTTTTTTTTAACCGAACTCCTACGTGCGCCGCCCAAATTACAAGACTGATCACTGCGTTTAAAAGGCACCAGATGGCTGCGGCGCTGAGGAGTGTCAGATGGCCGGGTCAGCACCACTGGTGCATCCTTCCAAACCGCGTTATCGGTGGCACACTCCCGCCTGCCACGCTCTGGGCCGCCCCGACTCGGCGGGCGTTAAATCGTCAGCCACCTGGACGGTGCCGATCAGCCCCTTTGAAAGATGAAGAAGTTCCAGACGAGGCCCATTGTTCAGTTACATAATCTTAACGGACAACTGCTGGGCAGGGCCCAAAAAAGGGGCTGCCAACTTTTTTGTTACGGCGCCGGAGAGCGAGCGGGGGTGAGGCCGGGCGGTTATGTAACCGAACCCGGGCAGAGCCGCGCTCCGCTCCCAGCGCGGCGGCCTTTTTAAAAGGCTAGGCCGGCGCGGGCTCTGGGAGCCCGGGCGGCCGCGTCCTCTCACCTTGGGGGTGTGCGGCGTGTCGAAGAGCCGCAGCTTGCGGAAGGTCTTGTGGGGCGGGGTGCCCGGGTAGTCCGGCAGCGGCGAGCAAGCGCCCTCTCCGGCCCCGCGCGCCCCGCAGCCCCGCGGCGACGCATCCCCCGGGCCGCCGCAGCGCACTGGCGAGAACGAGCTGCCCAGAAAATAGGGAGCCGCCGGCGACTTGACCGGCGACGAGGAGCCGAAGCCCTCCTCCTCCCACGAGTCGCCCTCGGCCCCGCCGCCCGCCGCGTCCGCGCCGGGGCAGGCGCCTCGCAGCATTATGTCCTCCTCCAGCTCCCCCGGGCTGCCGGAGATTGTGCCCGGAGAGCGACGGCGCTCGGGCCCGGGCTCTGTGGGGCTCCTCGCGGGCGGCAGCGGCGAGTCAGGCTCCTGAAAGGCCGAGTCCTCCCCGGTGCTGTGGCCGCTGCCTTCTTCCTCCTCTTCTTCCTCCTCCTCCTCACAGTCGCTGCAGGGCGAGAAAATCAGCTTCTGCCGCAAGGTGCAGGAGGCCGCGGCGCGGCGGGGCGGCGGCGGCTGTTGCCGGCTCAGGAAGCTCATCGCGCCTCTGGGACCGGGGTGGAGGACCGGAGAACCTGAGTCCCCGGAGTCCAGGGCTCGGCCGGCCCAGGGGGCGGGTCCGCCACGTGCGACGGGGCGCGCCCGGTGGCCGCGGCGGCGGCGGACCTGCGCGGCGCCGGCGGCGAACGGCGGCTCCGGGACGCTCTGGGCGGCGGCCGGCGGGGGAGGCGGCAGCGCGGGCTGTCCGGCAGAGGCGGGGCGGCCCGGGCGCCGAGTCTGGGGTCTCCGCAGGTCCAGCCGCAGGTTCGGGTTCCGCGGCTTCCCGCGACCGTTAACCACGTGAGCGCCCATTCCACCAATCCCCGCCCAGCCTAGGGTTTGAAAAAAATGGAGGGCGCGACGTAGCCCGCTGGGGAGGGATCAGCTACGCGATTTTGGCGCGAACTCGCTGGCTCCGCCCCTCCCTCTCGGCGCCGGGCCTGGCCAGGGCGGGCGCGGCGCGGCGGGCCTATGAGCGAGCGGGATGCCTGGGACCTGGGTCTGGCGCCTCCCGGACTGGGCCGGGCAGGGGCCCCTAGGCGGCCCTCTGGGAGGGGCGAAGGTTGAGGGCTGAACTCGGCCGAGCCGAGCGCCAGCCTGGACACTACATCCTCGGCGCTCTTACGACTCCTCGGAGGTGGAACGGGACTGGCGGCTGGAGAGCGCCTCAGAGTCCCTGCGGGTCGGGGCGAGCAGGAGACCGCCGTGGCCCTTTGTTGCTCCCGGGGGAGACTGACCTTAACGTCCCGCATCCCTTTGGTTCCGGCCCCTGGGGCGCATGGGCGTGGCTAAGGGGAGTTAGGTTCCCGACTCGAGGTCTGAGCCGGGAATGGTAACTCCGGCCTCTGGACCGACATTTGTGCAAATGGGTTAGGCCGACACCGAAAGTCGGAGGAGATGGACACGATTGAGCGACTGAACTGACTGAAAGTCAGGAGGAGACGAGTTCTCAGGCGAGGTCCCTGACTGCAGGGCGGTCTCTGAGCCTCTGTTTCCCTCCAGAGAGGCTGTTTTGGGCCGGGGTGTCTGCAGCGAGGGGAGCGCCCCCAGACCGTGGTCCTCTTTGCCATCCGCGCTGCCCCCCCCCCCACTGGTTCACAGTAAATAAAGCAGCTCCACACTCGGCCCTAAGCACAAAACCAAGTGCCCACCACGCGGCCACGGTGTTTATATTTGTTTGCCAGCACGTGGGCAAGTGTTGGCAAAACAGATCGGCTTAGCTTGCTGCAAACTTCAAAGCACCTTGAGGAAAAATTTCTCTAGTACTCCCGTCAAATTGTGATTTATCCGTCCTTTATTGTCGAAAACAGAAGTTTCTGACAGTTTTTTCAGTTGTAACCCCCTAATGAATCTTATTCCTTCTCTTGTTTTTTCTCCGTTTTGTTTTTTATTCTTTAGGATACATTCAAAGAAGTAGGAATTACTGGGTCAAAGTATATAAACTGCCAAATTACCCTCCAGAAAAAAAAAAAAAACTACATTCTCACTGGCAGTGGATTAAGTACACCCTTTGAGAATTCTGGACATCAGTGGGTATTTAATGTTTGTTGATGTAATTTTGTTGTTTTGATTCATATCACTGGACAGTTTTCGTGGGCTTATGGCACTTCATGAATATAAACACTTGACCATATATGCTGTTCTAACACTTAAAAGTTAAAACTTAAGCTGGGTTTTTAATAATGGAAACACGTCTTAATATTTATCACATGGGAAATTCCCTGAGATTACATAACTGAAGATGCAGTGAAGAGTAAACAGACATTTTCTCCAAATATTTGCTAACTGATATTTCTTTTTTTGTGTTAATCCAAACTTAATTTTAAGCTCAGAAGACAGGAACTCTACTATTTTGTATGTTTCAAGGAGTGCCATTCTCTGAAAAACCAAGCAGTGGTTTTTAGCACCCTCCCAAATGCCAACCCACTCCCGTATTCTTGCCTAGAGAATTCCATGGACAGAGGAGCCCGGTGGGCTACAGTCCATGGGGGTTACAAAGAGTTGGACGTGACTGAAGTGACTTAGCACTCCAACTCCTCTTTTCTCCTAGTGAGAAATATAAATTCTTTTATATGGATAGTTGACATTTTCTCAATTTCATGTGAAGTATAAATAAAAATAACTCTGTTAAACTTCTACTTCTATATGTTGATCTATAACATGAATTATATGTAAAGCAGTGTGCTTCCTAAACACCTCTGCCCACTAATTTTTTGCCCCAAGCCTCTCCTATGTAAATAATTCTATATACGCTGTTTCTACCTATGCAAACTCATGCTGCCTCCCACCCCCTTCACTCTTTCATAACATCCTTCATTTCCTTAACAGGCTTTTATCTATCTCAGAGTGTGTTGATTATTTACTACTATTCCATTCTAGGAAATTAGGTCCTTGAGTATAGGGACCTTTCCTTTTGTTTATTGCAGTATTCTGATATGGCTTCAGTTCAATTCAATCACTCAGTCGTGTCCAACTATTTGCGACCCCATGGACTGCAGCACCCCAGGCTTCCCTGTCCATCACCAACTCCCGGAGCTTGCTCAAACTCATGTCCATTGAGTCGGTGATGCTATCCAACCACCTCATCCTAAGTCATCCCCTTCTATCTTCAATCTTTCCCAGCATCAGGGTCTTTTCAAATGAGTCAGTTATTTGCATCAGGTGACCAAAGTGGAGCTTCAGCTTCTGCATCAGTCCTTCCAATGAATATTCATGACTGATTTCCTTCAGGATGTACTGGTTGGATCTCCTTGCAGCCCAAGGGACGCTCAAGAGTCTTCTCCAAAAAAAAAAAAAGTCTTCTCCAATGACACAGTTCAAAATCATCGGTTCTTTGGCGTTCAGCTTTCTTTATGGTCCAACTCTCACATCCATCCATGACTACTGGAAAAACCGTAGCTTTGACTTTGTGGACCTTTGTTGCCAAAGTAAATGATATGGCTTAGGTGCTCAGTATCTTTTGAGTGATAATAGGACCCTTACTTACATATTTATTGATTGGTTCATTTTCTCTCTCAATATTATTAGTTCACATGGTACCGAAGTCTCCCACTTAACCTTGTAACCCCCCTGCCCAAGTCCCCTTCCTGGAGGTGAAAAACTCTTCTAATATTCTTTGTCAACTCTTAACCTTGCCACCTCTCTGCTTCCCTAAACTGGGATGTTCTTAAAATCAAATGGGGCAAAAAGGGCGTGGGTTCCCAATGGGAAGGGAAGATTTCTTGGTTCACACCCAGGTCCTCACACAGAATAGGAGAGGTAAATTCCCACCAGATATATAGGATGACTGGGGAAAAAGACGGAATTGTTTTTAAGTATCGTTAAAAGTGATACTCAGGGCAAAAACCCTTTGACTTTCTCCACTTCCATGTAAAACAGATATTCCCACTCCAGACTTTCCACCACACCCTGCATGGACTATGTAACACCCTTTGTTTACTTGTCTGGCTTCTCTCCCAACCAAGGGCTGAGATCAAGTTTTATTTATCTTTAGAGCTGCAGAAACCAGCAATGTGCCTTGGCTCCAAAGAAGGTGCTTAATAAATGTTTCTGGAATAATTAAAATGTAGTGTTCTTTAGAAAACAAAACTGCCAAAATGAGTAAGAAACCCAGGCCCTGTCTCCTGCATCTGAGAACATGGCACAATGTTAATAGGTTTAACTGCAGAAATATCCTAACTGAAATTCTAAATGATTGTTCCGATTTTTTAAATTTCATGCTCTTCAGAGTGCAGCACTCACTGTACTGAGAGACGGTTACGCCCACCTGCCCCAGGGCATATCTAATTCAAATTTCTTGCTCTTTCCCTACCCTGTGTTGTTTTTAACTGTAATGTTACTAGGCAGCTTTTGCATCCTGTGGTAATGTTGTAATTGAGTAAAAATCATGCCTCTGGGAGAACAAACTTAACCTGTTTCTCTCCTTTACAATGATGATTTACCAAGTAAAAGACTTTCATTCCACTGTTATTGGCCCATTCACCTGCCTTAGCAGCAAAATAAGTCTCCTGCCCTGAAAATTTATAATTGAGAGTTCTAAATCACCTTCTCAAATACTTTTAATATATACAGCACATAAATATACATGCATATTCTCGTAAACGTAAGCCGTGAACTTTTGAATGAAAGGTCCTTAAGAACTAGGAACTAATTTTTCACAGTGATGTAAAGTCTCTAGGAATGTTTCTTAAGACTAGCCTGCTTTTACCCACAGCTGAATCCTTTCTAGCTTATGTTTTTTATTCTGGAGAAATAATTTTTTTCTAAAGACAAGCCTACTCTAATAGATACCTAATTTTTTTTTAAAAGTCATGTTGGTCAAATCAGTTTTTCACTTAAAAACCAAATAATATGCTTGAAAAATTCAACTGTCTTTCTTCATCTTCCTGGTATCTTTACCTGTCCTCTTCTGCTGGTTCTCTCAGCAAACTTCACCTCACTTCAACACAGCTCTAACTGTTACCAACTGCCGTTTGGCTCCAGAATCCAGTTCTCAGGCTAGAATGTGATAACCCCTACCACTGCTCCCATTTTACTTCTCAGGTGTAGTTTAGACTTCTGTATTTTGTCACTTGCCTTAATACCCTCTTGATGGATGACATTGTTTGACCATTTCACCACGTGTTCATCAGCTCACTCTGATACAGAATAACCAAATCCAGTTCCTCCTTAGTTGCTCAGTAGATTAAATGGGAGACTAGCATTGTCCCTTACAAATAGTGTTCAATAAATCTTGTGTGTACTTTTAATTATAGCAATTTTTTTAGAGATTTTTTTATGTGGACCATTTTTTACAGTCTTTATTGGCTTTGTTACAATATTGCTTCTGTTTTTATGTTTTGGTGTTTGGGCCACAAGGCATGTGGGATCTTAGCTCCCTAACCGGGGACTGAATCTGTGCCCCCTGCATTGGAAGGCAAGGTCTTAACTACTGGACTGCCAGGGAAGTCCTTAATTACAGCGGTGTTATTTGAGGATAATCATTCTTGTTAATGGCTTTAATCAGTAAATGCATCCTATGATTCCTGGTGTCCTCAAAATAAGTTTGTCTGATGTAAAACTTAGGACTTCCCTGGTGGCTTAGAGGGTAAAGAATCTGCCTGCAATGTGGGCAACCTGGGTTTGATTCCTGGGTTGGGAAGGTCCCCTGGAGGAGGGTGTGGCAACCCACTCGAGTATCCTTTTTTTTCCACTCGAGTATTCTTGCCTGGAGAATCCCCATGGACAGAGGAGCCTGCCAGGCTATAGTCCATGGGGTCGGAAAGAGTCAGACATGACTGATCTACTAAACACACAATGTGAATAAACAGTTAAGTCTGTGTACAGCCAGTGAGGATGATCAAATCAGAACAGAGATAGTATTGATAAGAACTTGAAAAGTGTAGCTAGGAAAGAGTGACCAGTTGAAAGCTTGGATTTTAATGGAATGAACATACTTTATTTTCATGCCTAATTAATCTTTAAGGATTACCAACATACTCTTTTCATTTATCCTTCTAGCAATTATGTAAGATCAACAGCAGATTCCATTACATACAGTTATATCAATTATATAGATTATGTACAAAAAGTTTGAGGATCTAAAATTCTCATTCAGTTTATCTTTGGGGATTTCAACACTGAAAAGACCATGCTAGGGTACTTAAAAGTTGTATCTGGGGAATTCCCTGGTGGTCCAGTGGTTAAGACTCCAAGCTTCCACTGCAGGAGGCACAATCCTTGACCAGGGAACTAAAATCCCACATGCCTTTCA